GGCACGATTCCCCGCGGGGTCACGGGGCGGGTGTCTCCTCCGGAGGGGGGTCCCCTTCACCCTGCCTGCCTCAGTTTCCCCGGGCTCCTCACCCCTGTCTCTGTTGTCACTTCAGGGACCAGCCCGCTGTCCCCGTCCCGGGTGCTGGCGTGTCCTGAGACGGGCCGGCCGTGCAGCCAGGCGGCCTGGGGCGCCCGGGACCCTCCTGCCTCAGCCTCCCCGTGCTGGGGTGACCGGCGGGCGCCACCGCCCACCGGGGTGCGGAAGCTCTGCAGGGTGTGCGTGTCCCCGTCCTGCAGGGACAGAGCGGATCTGAGCCTGGCGTCCGGGCAGCGGGCCCTGCAGGGCGGGAGTTGTCGGGGGCTGAGGCGGGAGGGTGTCGGGTGTGGCCCGCCCGGGGTCGGGCGTGGGAGCCCCAGACTCAAACGCGAAGAAAGGCGGCGGGGGGCGCTCGGGGCCGACCTGGGCACCTCGAGGCCACCAAGGCAGGACGGGGTGTCGCAAGACGGGCCCCGCGGGGCGGAAAGGAGCCCCTTATCACGGTGCAGCCGGCCGGTGTCGCAAGCGGTTCGTGGAAAGTGAGGCTCGGGGTGCAGGGCGTCCGGCTGGGGTGCCCAGGCCCGCGTGCCCTCAGCCAGCAGCAGGAGGCCGGGTGGGCGCAGCGCTGAGCCTCTGCAGTGCGGGAGACGGGCGACACGGGCACATGGAGGTTGTGAAGTCGCTTTATTATCCCATCAAAGTGCAGCCCGGACGGCGAGGCTGTAACTTGGGGGCAGGAGACACGCGGCCAGGTTGGGGCGCTGGGGCCCCCGCGATCTCTTCTTCTGTCTGGATATGGTACCCGCGCCCGTGCTGCTGTTTAAATACCGGACACTGAGCCCAGCCCAGGGAGGCTGAGGCGGGAGGGCTGCTGCGGGTGCGAGACCAGCTGGCCCGGCCTCCCCGTGCTGGGGTGACCGGCGGGCGCCTCTGCCCCTCTGGGCTGTGGTCTCCGGGGTGTCGGGCGGGACCCCGAGTCCCCACACACAGCTCCTCCCTGGCCTCCCTGCCAGCTGCAGGGTCCTGCACCCACCGCGGCCCGGCCCAGTTCCTCCTTTTGATCCCGGCCCAGCTGCCACCCGCCCCAGCCGCAGGGCCTCGGGCTCAGCACGGGGGCCCCCACTTCCAGAAGAATAAAGCAAAGCGGGGTTCACAGGAGAGGGGGTGCGGGTTCGGTGGGGATCTGTGATCCCCGTGCCCTCGGAGGAGGCTGAGGCAGGAAGATCTCAAATTCCAGCTCAGCCTGGGGACAGACGGACTTAAGGACACCCTGGCTCACAATAATACATAAATAAAATAAAATAAAAATAGCAGGGGCCATGTGCAGTGGTGCACGCTGTCCTCCTAGCACTAGGGAGGCTGAGGCAGGAGGGTCTCTGTGAGTTCAGTGCCAGCCTGGGCTACACGGTGCCGTGTACGTGGGAGATACGAGGTCCCCGTCACCCCGCCTGGGAGATGCCAGGTCCTTCGGTCCCCACAGCACACGACAGTGACTACAGAGGCCACAGAAGATTCAGCAGTCAAGCCAGGAACGTGCTGCGGGCGGGAGAGGGGATCTGGCAGGGGCAAGGGCACTGGCAGCCACTTTGGCATGCGGAGGAAAATCATACACAGCACAGAAAATCCCCGCTGTGCTCTGCCAAGACCCCGGCCCCCGAGGGCCAGGCAGGAAATTGCCCAACCGTGCTGAGGGGCGTGGCGGTTATCATCGTGCAAAAGGAAACCGGCGGCAGACTGCAGAGTGGCACCTGAAGGGAGGCCTGCGAGCCGTCCAGCAGAGCCCAGCGGCCGCCTCACTGACCCGCGCAGCCTGGCATCGCCTCCGCCGGCCGCTCTGGTCTCTGGTCCCTGCAGGGCAGCTCCAGCCACGGCCGGGCCACCACAGGACATCCGCCCTGCCAGGGGGTTTCTGTTCAGGGAGAGATTTTCCAGCCAGCGACGCAGGGGCCAGAGCAGAGGCCGGAGCAGCTGGTGGGGACTCTGCGGTGACTGTGGGTAAGCCGGCCCCAGCAGGGTGTGGGGGGCAGAGCTCCGAGTCCCCTGGGATCCACAGACCACCCAGTGCGGCCTGTTCAGGGAGGTTGATGGGCAACAAGGACACATCCAGGTGGTCCTGCTTTTATTGCAGTGGGGAGATCTAGGTCCAACCAGAGGACAGACATTTCCATGTCCTGAGCTCTCTGGGGGCCGGGCCGTCCCGATGACGTTTGCAGATGCTCCTGCGAGGGGGTGGCGAGAACGCTGAGTGTGACCACAGTGTCCATGGGAGCCGAAGGACCGAGGCAGCCCGGGGTCCAAATGGGGAACCCACAGTGGTCCATCTGTGCGAGGGAATATTACACAGCCATGAAAAGGGACGCAGCCCGAGGCCCAGCGCCCACGGGCTCAGCTCTGCCGGGTACACGCTTCACACGCTAAGCTCGGACCAGCAAAATGCAGCAGCTGGGACCGTGCAACTGGATTGTTTAATTCATTTGTAAATCGGTTTCCTCCTGCTTCCCTCGCAGTCCTGGGGACAGAACCCCGGCCCGCGCCCTGAGCTGCACCCCACCCGGTCCTGGCTTCTCTCCTCTTTTGGGAGGGGTGGCCCTCCATCGCCCCGCTGGGCTCTCAGCGGGGACCCTCCTGCCTCAGCCTTGCAGCCCCCCCGCTGCTGCCGGGGCCTGAGCCGCTCGGGGCAGGCTGTGCGGGACCCTCCGGGCCTCCCCACCCCCCTCGCAGCCGGGGTCCCCGGGGTCCCCGAGTTCCCGGCTGACCCCAAGCTCCTCCACTTCCCGACAGCGCGGGCTCAGGAAGCCGAGGCCGGGCGTTTCCTTCCAGGCTTTGTCCCGGCGGCTGCAGGAGGGACCAGAGCCCAGGGCCGGGCTGGGGGGTCGCAGGGTGCCCACCCACACCGGGGTCAGAAACCAGAATCACGCATGGGTGGGGGACAGGGAAACGCGCCCGGGGGCACAGTCAGAGACAGAGAGACACAGACAGGGAGACAGACAGACAGGGAGTCAGACAGACTGAGGGGCGCAGCCGGCCGGCCCCCTGAGCGCCCCGTTCCTGCAGCCCCCCTGCGCCCCGAGAGCCCGCCATGCCCGGCGCGTGGCCCCTGGCCCTGCTGCTTCTGCTGCCGTCCGCGTGCTGCCCGCCGCCCCGCGCCCAGGGTAGGTCCGCAGGGACGTGGGGGGCCCGGGTGCCACCCCCGGGTGGGGGGGCCGGCCATCGCCTGACCGCAGCCCACACCCGGGCCCGCAGGCCGCCCGGGCAAACGGTCGCCTCCCAGGTGTTGCCCAACCTGCCCGCAGCACGGCGGACGTGGGGGGCCGGGGGGGCCCCTCCCAGTCGGGAAGCGGTCGGGGTGCGTTTCCTGTTCTGAAGTGGGGGGCTGAGGGGGCCGGGTCCCCGCGGACGGGCGTGCACGGCGCCCTGGGCGGGCGAGGCCGGGGCAGGAGGGTCTCGGGGTCCGGCCGTGCCAGGAAAGCCGGACTCAGCCTGGAATGAGGAACCTGCAAGCCGCAGCCGCCGAGCGCACCGTTTCCTGCAGAGCCGCGTCTCGCCAGGAACCGAAAGGGACCCCAAAGCAAGCACGTTTGGCAGCGGGTTCCCGGGCTGCTGCTGCATCTTCTGTAGGAGCCAGCTGCGCCCTCGTGAGCACAAAGCCAGGCCGCCCGCGGCCGGCCGCCTCGAACCCCGCCCGGGTCTTGATAAGAAGACCCGATAGGAGCAGTTTGCAAACAGCTGCTTCCCCCTCCCTGACCGAGGGAGGCTCCGAGCGTGAACGGTGGCGGCTCCGGGCGGCTCCTGCCGGCTGCATTTCTGTTTGTTCTTTATTGTTGGCTTGTTTTGAGGCGCAGTCTCTGCTCTGAGCCCAGGATGCCCTGGAACTTACAGAGACCCTCCCACCTCGGCCTCCCGAGAGCCGGGCTCAGACCCTCCCGCCTCGGCCTCCCGAGTGCCAGGCTGACCCGTGGCACATCCTGAGGGCTCCTGTCCCCTCCCTTCCCCTGCAGAGCCCACCGCGCCCCTCAGGAACCTCAGGGTGGAGCCGGGCAGCAGGCGGCTGACCTGGGACCTGCAGGGGAACGCGTCCGGCATCCAGTGCTTCCAGAGCAGCTACCCCTTGGTAAAGCGGGGCCCCGGCACATGGCCTCGGGGTGTGCCCACCTCGGGGTCCACCCCTGACCTGAGCCGCTCCTGACCAGCTGAGGGCGGGGCACCCTCGTTCCTGGGCTGGGAGACCCCGGCTCCTGGCTGGTCCCACACACGCCTCCCCCCATGGGCATGTGTGTCCTCCTGTCCACTTCTCAGCAGCACCAGGTCCTGTGGGGTTGGGGGCCACCCTGGGACTCAGTTTACCTCCCCAGCTCTCTGAGGCCCCGCTCCACACATGGCTGCAGCCTGAGGTCCTAAGGGTCAAGAGTCAATCAACAAACAGCCACTGAAAAGCCCAGGCCGCCCTCCGGTGTCAGAGCTCGGAAAGGAAAGGAAAGATTAGTTAGGGTTCCCGCATCACAACAGATGGAGCCCGATGTGCTTCTGGCCGCGGAGGTGTGCAAGAAAATGGAGGAGGGGTTTGAAAATGCTGAGCGGACGCGGCACGGTGACTCAAGGCCGTCGTGCCAGCGCTGAGAGGCTGAGGCAGGAGGGTCTCCGATTGGATCTCAGGCTGGGCAGTCCAGCATTGTAGGGAGACCCCGACTCAAAACAATCGCTGAGGGGGCCGAGGCGGGGCTCAGAGCAGCGGCCCCGGGTTCCACACCCGGCCCCAGCACGGTTCCTTTGGAGACAAGGTCCCTCTGACCTGCCCCGGGCAGGCTGGACGCTGAGATCCTCCTGCCTCAGCCTCCCAAGAGGTCTGCAGGGCCGCGCGTCACCGTCCCTCACGACGGGAGGCGGAGCCGCTCCAGGCTTTGTGGAAGGAGAAATATCAGATACTAGAGGAAACCATCAGTTAGCAACCGCCTTTCTTTGCAGACTGACTCCGAGGAGGACGCGTCCTTCCAAGAGGTAAGTGCACGCGGGTGCCCGCTGGACAGTGACTCCAGCCTTCGGGACACGCGCTGCCCTGCAGGTAAATTTGTCCGTCATCCCAGCACTGAGGAGGCTGAGGCAGGAGGGTCCTCCAGGCCATCGGGCTGCAAGCTCGCTCCCTGCAGACGGTGGCTGCTGGTCGGCCTCAGCTGACCTGAGCCCACACAGGGCCACTGCCCGGCCTGCAGCCCCGTGTGTGTCCCTCAGGCGGAGGACGACCAGTACTGTGAGTACCACACAATGTCCTTCTGCACGGTGACCAACTACACGGTCAGGGTGACGCAGCCGCCGTTCTCAGCCTGGATCCTCTTCCCGCAGCCAGGTGAGGACCAAGGAGACGCTCCCGGGGTGCAGGATGCAGAGGGCGCAGTCCATGCTCAGTGCTCCAGGGCGGGAGCATCATGGTGGACGGTGTGGGGAGGAGAGAGGCTCACATCTTGGTGGCCGGGAAGCAGGGAGAGAAGGGAGGAGCCGGGGACCAGAACACAGCTTAAAGAGGGAGCTCAGTGTGGCTCAGGGGTGCAGAGGGTGCAGTCCATGGCCAGCTGCTCCAAGGCGGGAGCATCATGGTGGACGGTGTGGGGAGGAGAGACGCTCCCATCATGGTGGCCGGGAAGCAGGGAGAGAAGGGAGGAGCCGGGGACCAGAGCACAGCTTAAAGAGGGAGCTCAGTGTGGCTCAGGGGTGCAGAGGGTGCAGTCCATGGCCGGCTGCTCCAAGGCGGGAGCATCATGGTGGATGGTGTGGGGAGGAGACACGCTCCCATCATGGTGGCCGGGAAGCAGGGAGAGAAGGGAGGAGCTGGGGACCAGAACACAGCTTAAAGAGGGAGCTCAGTGTGGCTCAGGGGTGCAGAGGGTGTAGTCCATGGCCGGCTGCTCCAAGGCGGGAGCATCATGGTGGACGGTGTGGGGAGGAGAGACGCTCCCATCATGGTGGCCGGGAAGCAGGGAGAGAAGGGAGGAGCCGGGGACCAGAACACAGCTTAAAGAGGGAGCTCAGTGTGGCTCAGGGGTGCAGAGGGTGCAGTCCATGGCCGGCTGCTCCAAGGCGGGAGCATCATGGTGGACGGTGTGGGGAGGAGAGACGCTCCCATCATGGTGGCCGGGAAGCAGGGAGAGAAGGGAGGAGCCGGGGACCAGAACACAGCTTAAAGAGGGAGCTCAGTGTGGCTCAGGGGTGCAGAGGGTGCAGTCCATGGCCAGCTGCTCCAAGGCGGGAGCATCATGGTGGACAGTGTGGGGAGGAGAGACGCTCCCATCATGGTGGCCGGGAAGCAGAGAGAAAAGGGAGGAGCCGGGGACCAGAGCACAGCTTAAAGAGGGAGCTCAGTGTGGCTCAGGGGTGCAGAGGGTGCAGTCCATGGCCGGCTGCTGCAGGGCAGGAGCATCATGGTGGACGGTGTGGGGAGGAGAGACGCTCCCATCATGGTGGCCTGGAAGCAGAGAGAGTAGGGAGGAGACGGGGACCAGAACACAGCTTAAAGAGGGAGCTCAGTGTGGCTCAGGGGTGCAGAGGGTGCAGTCCAAGGCGGCTGCTCCAAGGCGGGAGCATCATGGTGGACGGTGTGGGGAGGAGAGACGCTCCCATCATGGTGGCCGGGAAGCAGGGAGAGAAGGGAAGAGCCGGGGACCAGAACACAGCTTAAAGAGGGGAGCTCAGTGTGGCTCAGGGGTGCAGAGGGTGCAGTCCATGGCCGGCTGCTCCAAGGCAGGAGCATCATGGTGGACGGTGTGGGGAAGAGAGACGCTCCCATCATGGTGGCCGGGAAGCAGGGAGAGAAGGGAGGAGCCGGGGACCAGAACACAGCTTAAAGAGGGAGCTCAGTGTGGCTCAGGGGTGCAGAGGGTGCAGTCCATGGCCGGCTGCTCCAAGGCAGGAGCATCATGGTGGACGGTGTGGGGAAGAGAGGCGCTCCCATCATGGTGGCCGGGAAGCAGGGAGAGAAGGGAGGAGCCGGAGACCAGAGCACAGCTTAAAGAGGGAGCTCAGTGTGGCTCAGGGGTGCAGAGGGTGCAGTCCATGGCCGGCCGCTCCAGGGCAGGAGCATCATGGTGGACGGTGTGGGGAGGAGAGACGCTCCCATCATGGTGGCCGGGAAGCAGGGAGAGAAGGGAGGAGCCAGGGACCAGAGCACAGCTTAAAGAGGGAGCTCAGTGTGGCTCAGGGGTGCAGAGGGTGCAGTCCATGGCCGGCTGCTCCAAGGCAGGAGCATCATGGTGGACGGGTGTGGGGAGGAGAGACGCTCCCATCATGGTGGCCGGGAAGCAGGGAGAGAAGGGAGGAGCCGGGGACCAGAACACAGCTTAAAGAGGGAGCTCAGTGTGGCTCAGGGGTGCAGAGGGTGCAGTCCATGGTCGGCTGCTCCAAGGCGGGAGCATCATGGTGGACGGTGTGGGGAGGAGACACGCTCCCATCATGGTGGCCGGGAAGCAGGGAGAGAAGGGAGGAGCCGGGGACCAGAACACAGCTTAAAGAGGGGAGCTCAGTGTGGCTCAGGGGTGCAGAGGGTGCAGTCCATGGCCGGCTGCTCCAAGGCAGGAGCATCATGGTGGACGGTGTGGGGAAGAGAGGCGCTCCCATCATGGTGGCCGGGAAGCAGGGAGAGAAGGGAGGAGCCGGAGACCAGAGCACAGCTTAAAGAGGGAGCTCAGTGTGGCTCAGGGGTGCAGAGGGTGCAGTCCATGGCCGGCCGCTCCAGGGCAGGAGCATCATGGTGGACGGTGTGGGGAGGAGAGACGCTCCCATCATGGTGGCCGGGAAGCAGGGAGAGAAGGGAGGAGCCAGGGACCAGAGCACAGCTTAAAGAGGGAGCTCAGTGTGGCTCAGGGGTGCAGAGGGTGCAGTCCATGGCCGGCTGCTCCAAGGCAGGAGCATCATGGTGGACGGGTGTGGGGAGGAGAGACGCTCCCATCATGGTGGCCGGGAAGCAGGGAGAGAAGGGAGGAGCCGGGGACCAGAACACAGCTTAAAGAGGGAGCTCAGTGTGGCTCAGGGGTGCAGAGGGTGCAGTCCATGGCCGGCCGCTCCAGGGCAGGAGCATCATGGTGGACGGTGTGGGGAGGAGAGACGCTCCCATCATGGTGGCCGGGAAGCAGGGAGAGAAGGGAGGAGCCAGGGACCAGAGCACAGCTTAAAGAGGGAGCTCAGTGTGGCTCAGGGGTGCAGAGGGTGCAGTCCATGGCCGGCTGCTCCAAGGCAGGAGCATCATGGTGGACGGGTGTGGGGAGGAGAGACGCTCCCATCATGGTGGCCGGGAAGCAGGGAGAGAAGGGAGGAGCCGGGGACCAGAACACAGCTTAAAGAGGGAGCTCAGTGTGGCTCAGGGGTGCAGAGGGTGCAGTCCATGGTCGGCTGCTCCAAGGCGGGAGCATCATGGTGGACGGTGTGGGGAGGAGACACGCTCCCATCATGGTGGCCGGGAAGCAGGGAGAGAAGGGAGGAGCCGGGGACCAGAACACAGCTTAAAGAGGGGAGCTCAGTGTGGCTCAGGGGTGCAGAGGGTGCAGTCCATGGCCGGCTGCTCCAAGGCAGGAGCATCATGGTGGACGGTGTGGGGAAGAGAGGCGCTCCCATCATGGTGGCCGGGAAGCAGGGAGAGAAGGGAGGAGCCGGAGACCAGAGCACAGCTTAAAGAGGGAGCTCAGTGTGGCTCAGGGGTGCAGAGGGTGCAGTCCATGGCCGGCCGCTCCAGGGCAGGAGCATCATGGTGGACGGTGTGGGGAGGAGAGACGCTCCCATCATGGTGGCCGGGAAGCAGGGAGAGAAGGGAGGAGCCAGGGACCAGAGCACAGCTTAAAGAGGGAGCTCAGTGTGGCTCAGGGGTGCAGAGGGTGCAGTCCATGGCCGGCTGCTCCAAGGCAGGAGCATCATGGTGGACGGGTGTGGGGAGGAGAGACGCTCCTATCATGGTGGCCGGGAAGCAGGGAGAGAAGGGAGGAGCCGGGGACCAGAACACAGCTTAAAGAGGGAGCTCAGTGTGGCTCAGGGGTGCAGAGGGTGCAGTCCATGGCCAGCTGCTCCAAGGCGGGAGCATCATGGTGGACGGTGTGGGGAGGAGAGACGCTCCCATCATGGTGGCCGGGAAGCAGGGAGAGAAGGGAGGAGCCGGGGACCAGAGCACAGCTTAAAGAGGGAGCTCAGTGTGGCTCAGGGGTGCAGAGGGTGCTGTCCATGGCCAGCTGCTCCAAGGCGGGAGCATCATGGTGGACGGTGTGGGGAGGAGAGACGCTCCCGTCATGGTGGCAGGGAAGCAGGGAGAGAAGGGAGGAGCCGGGGACCAGAACACAGCTTAAAGAGGGAGCTCAGTGTGGCTCAGGGGTGCAGAGGGTGCTGTCCATGGCCAGCTGCTCCAAGGCAGGAGCATCATGGTGGACGGTGTGGGGAGGAGAGACGCTCCCATCATGGTGGCCGGGAAGCAGGGAGAGAAGGGAGGAGCCGGGGACCAGAGCACAGCTTAAAGAGGGAGCTCAGTGTGGCTCAGGGGTGCAGAGGGTGCTGTCCATGGCCAGCTGCTCCAAGGCAGGAGCATCATGGTGGACGGTGTGGGGAGGAGAGACGCTTCCCATCATGGTGGCTGGGAAGCAGGGAGAGAAGGGAGGAGCCGGGGACCAGAACACAGCTTAAAGAGGGAGCTCAGTGTGGCTCAGGGGTGCAGAGGGTGCTGTCCATGGCCAGCTGCTCCAAGGCAGGAGCATCATGGTGGACGGTGTGGGGAGGAGAGACGCTCCCATCATGGTGGCCAGGAAGCAGGGAGAGAAGGGAGGAGCCGGGGACCAGAGCACAGCTTAAAGAGGGAGCTCAGTGTGGCTCAGGGGTGCAGAGGGTGCAGTCCATGGCCGGCTGCTCCAGGCGGGAGCATCATGGTGGACGGTGTGGGGAGGAGAGACGCTCCCATCATGGTGGCCGGGAAGCAGGGAGAGAAGGGAGGAGCCGGGGACCAGAGCACAGCTTAAAGAGGGAGCTCAGTGTGGCTCAGGGGTGCAGAGGGTGCTGTCCATGGCCAGCTGCTCCAAGGCAGGAGCATCATGGTGGACGGTGTGGGGAGGAGAGACGCTCCCATCATGGTGGCCGGGAAGCAGGGAGAGAAGGGAGGAGCCGGGGACCAGAGCACAGCTTAAAGAGGGAGCTCAGTGTGGCTCAGGGGTGCAGAGGGTGCAGTCCATGGCCGGCTGCTCCAAGGCGGGAGCATCATGGTGGACGGTGTGGGGAGGAGACACGCTCCCATCATGGTGGCCGGGAAGCAGGGAGAGAAGGGAGGAGCCGGGGACCAGAACACAGCTTAAAGAGGGAGCTCAGTGTGGCTCAGGGTGCAGAGGGTGCAGTCCATGGCCGGCTGCTCCAAGGGGAGCATCATGGTGGACGGTGTGGGGAGGAGAGACGCTCCCGTCATGGTGGCCGGGAAGCACCTTTCGCACTCTGGGCTGCGTCGTGCTCTGATCCTCAACAGGTCCACCCTGAGGGCCCTGAGCTGACCGAGGTGACGGTCACCAGGGCTCACTGATCTCGGGTCTTTCCAAGCCCAGATAGCAGCATGGCGGCGGCGGCCACAGGCCTGAGGTGCAGGATTCCC